CTTTAAGTAGCCTATTCACTGTACCAACTAGCAAAACCTTTATAAAAATAGAGAGGAAAACAAATTGAAACAAAAACAACCACCAAAGCCCTCAGTGGATACTGTGGCTTAATAATGGCTCAAGCACTGATGCAAAACTCTTGCCGTAGCCTGACCTGGACGTGTCATGCAAATGAACATTTCACTTAAAGCAAAGAGCCTGAGAGCACTTACCAAAGTGACTGCTGCCAGCACAGGATAATGCTTCTGCTACATCACTATTATGAATGATAATAGCCACAACACATCATTGAGTACCACTACCTGCCATTTCATCAGCCTACTCTAGCAGAAGAAGCCAAGTGGATGATGACTTGCAGGAATAATATCTTTTGACTCAGAGGTCCGAAACAGCAGTTGCTAGTGAAGTTTTTGGGCCATAGATAGAAAGTAGGACAACCAAGCTCATGAGAGCAAAAGACACCAGCTGTGCAGAACAAACTGACAGTTTAAAAGTCACATATCAAAAAAGTTCATTACAACACCAATCAATCTGTTTAATATGGCCTAACGTCCATTGTATCATCAAATATTAACATCCACTCTACAGAATTAACTTGAGACGAATAGTCTGGATACATTTACACAGCTCACGTGACTATTAAAAATTAAAAAGCCGATGGCAATGAACTGATTGTTCGAGATCGTTTCGCTTCAGATTGTTCATTGTTGATGTGCAACTCATCAAAACGCCTCAGTGAATCAAGTCCATGATGTCTTTGAGCTCAAGAGTCCCATGAATGTAGTGACCTAAATAGTGGTCGACCGATATGGGTTTTTTGACAAAGCAAGGTGGCCGATGGCCGATATAAAGCCGATATAATTTTATTTATTTTCATTTATATTTAAGAAATTTGAAATCATTTGAAAATGGATTAAAAATAATTGTGTAAAATAAACATACTTATACTTTAGAAGACAAAGCATTTTACACAAATAAATAAATATTTAATAAAAATCTAATTAAAAAGGAAGTAAACACGGTAACCAACAGGGCACTCAGTATTCTGGGAAGTTTGTGTGAATCATTTTTATAATTTTTTTTCAAATAAAGTCAAGGTAACACTCATTTTACACACAGCACGTAATGAAAATGACATGAATATGACAGTGGGCAACTGCATAAAGCGCAGCATAATTTCAAATCACTAGTTTAAAGTTTGTCGATCCTGCGTCTCCAGTGAAACTGAACTCTCCCTCCTGTCAGCATTCAATTTGCACGGATCGACCGTCACCCAGAGAACACGCGATCGTGCAGGAGAAATGCACACTTCACAAGATCTCAACTAGATTCGACTAAGTCTGCAAGGTTTGTGAAATTAAACGTTCATTCGTCATTCAAAGATTTGTTTAAATGATATAAATGCGTGTTTGCTGAATGCTGACGGCAAATGAGAAAGTATTATAATGTTTGCCTTTCTATTACTAATAATATTAAAGCAATCGTTATAATACTTTTTTTGTATACATTTTAATTCATTTATTATTAGATAGACTTATATCCATATTAGACAGAACTGAACGACGACAGCGAACAAGCGGGAGAATATGAGCGGTGTGCGCTCAGGCGCTGCAGCTGCCGTTCTCAGCGCCGTCAAAATAAAAGTCCGCCTCGACCACATCGGCCAAACAGAAAAACTTATCGGCCGATGCCGATATTTGAAAAATGCCAAATATCGGCCTTGGCGATATATCGGTCGACCACTAGACCTAAACAACTGACTCATCACAAGTGAAAGAACTAAAAACAGACCATGTTGTATATTAAATACGCATATCAGAGCAAACAGGTCACGCGCACGCACATACATACGCTAAAAGTGACTACATTTGATTTCTGTAATGTCTTTGGCACATCTTCAGGAGTGTGTCGCCAGAGCACTCTATCATAATAAAAATGTCCATACATGATTGAACCACTGTAAGTGGCATGGCTGATGTCTTTATTGTTACTACATTACTGTTGAACTTATGGAAAATGCTCTTAAAGTTACAGTTCAAAGCAAAAATGTAGTTCCAAAACCATTTGGAACTAAAGAAAATATTTTTAATATTCTCTCTCTATTTTTTACCCTTCCATTAAGAGATGGACCATAATTTGCATGCTTCAAAGTACAAATAGACATAGAAATTCATATGAATCTAGCAGTTTAATCAAAGTCTTCTGAAGACGAGATATGATTACTTCCTATGATGATTAGATTTAATTTAGGCTTTTATTCAGATATAAACACTGATCAACACATACATCAAACATAGCCAATGGAAGCTCAAAAGTGCTTGCTTAGATGAGACAATTTTGGTTGGATGGTCTTTCAATGGATAGAAAAAAATTGATGAGAGAATAGTAAATATACCTTTATTTGTGTTGTTAAGATGAATGAAAGTCTTATGGATTTGTAAGGACATGAGGGTGAGAGTAAATGATGACAGGATTTTTGGTTGAACTTAATATCATCATGCATGTCTAAACTTGTAAAGGAAGCTCTCACACCTCCTCCTCTTGCAAATAAGAGAGTATATAAAGGCCATAAAGGGTCTGGTAAAAATATAAATTCTGTCATCTTTCACTAATCTTCATGTTGTCAGGCAGAAGGACAATCCCAGTCACCATTCACTTGCATTATATGGAAAAGGAGTCATTGAAGGGTAACTGAGGTAGTCCATTCCTTACATTTCACCAAACATCTCCTTTCGTGATCCACAGAATAAAGTCAAACAGGGCTGGAACAAAATGAGGGTAGCTAAATTTTCATTTTAGGGCGAACTGTCCCTTTAAGGTTCCTGAACACACATTGGCTAACGTTGCGTTTTGTACGGTGGCCGAGAAGTGCTAAACAAATCACAATTCTGAAAACAAAATAACAAATTACAAACGCAAATGCAAGTCTAAAAAACGAAATAATTCAGAAAGCACAACAACAATTCAGAAAACATTATAACAAGTCAGAAAACACAACGACAAATCTATTTTCACTTAGTGTAAATAGAATCCATTGCTAATACCAGATTTGAAAAGGGAGGAAAAAAAGGTTCGGCAAAAGGCGGGATCGAACCCGGGTCGATCGCGTCAAAAAGCCAACGACACACGCTTATTATCCATCTGCGCCACTGGAACTGATAATTTACAGCCACTTTTAACTAAATGTAAATAGACACCTCGTATTTTTTATTCCATAGTAAGCGCAATTCATACAATACATTTAAACTGAGCTACTTTAATACTATCTCCGAACTTTCTACCACGACTCTGCTGTTCTTCGGCTGGTTCTTCCTGTATAGGTTGATTGACAGATGTCTCGTCCAGTCAGCGGTGAGTAATCCCAAACCAATGGCGCTGTCTCAAACTATACCTACCTCTTCCGGTTTGTCTGATTTGTCGTTGTGTTTTCTGACTTGTTAATTTGTTTTTGGATTTGTCCTTGTGTTTTCTGACTTGTTATTTTGTTTTCGAATTTGTCATTGTGTTTTCTGACTTGTTATAATGTTTTCTGAATTGTTATTTTGTTTTTTAGACTTGCATTTGCGTTTGTAATTTGTTATTTTGTTTTCAGAATTGTGATTTGTTTTGCACTTCTCGGCCACCGTAGTTTTGCCTATAAAAGCAAAAACACTTGGGAAATCTACTAGTAAACAGTGGCCAAGTTAGGATAAACAACCCAGACCATTTTATAAAACCAATACCAACTACATATTTAGATTAAGGGGAATTTACATTTATTTTGAATATTTTGCAGACGTACAATAAATAGCAAGAATAAAACAAAACAAGCCCACTACTCCTCGAAGTCTAATACAAAGAAGCGTCACCAATTATCGTGTAAAAATTGCAATTTAACCACAATATTTATGCATATTTTCAGCATAAAAAGTAACGCGCCAATGTGTTTTGTTAACATTTGTAACGCCTGTTGTTTTACTACAGAAACTATATCGGCTGTAATCAACCATCATCACTGTAACAAGCACTAACCTTGATCCGCTTCACTTTCTTCCACTTCTTACAACAACGCCATACGCCATTCACTCTTTGTCGGGATTCCCCTTCATTTCCAAAAGCTCTTCCCGCATTCCACACACGGATTCAATGGATTTTAATTGATCTGTTGAGAGACTCCTGGTCAATTCCAACGCTTCCCCGACAATCTATTGAACACAATGAGAAAGAGGGATAAGGCTTTAAACAGCTGTTTCCAAAATGGAGTGATCCCACAGCCAATCACACTCCGTCTGCTCTCTTACCAATAACAGCACTTCGCTTTGTTCACGCGGAGCTGCTTGCGTGATAAAATCGTGCGCTGAACAGTAACTTTAAATAATTTACATCTTGAAATGTTTGTTTTAAGGGAGTTTTATGAAAAGGAAGCAAGTTTCCAGGCTGGAGTAGGCGAGTGCTGAATACCCTTACAAAATTACCATGGCAACCACAGTTTCCGCCAAAATACCAACCTAGAGTGATTGTTTCTATTATGAAACTATGGCAGCTTGGCCACCACTGTCAGCAAAAATAAGCAAATTAAGCATGATGACTTCTGAAAGCTTTATACTTTGAAGAAGATATTAACGTACGGTGTTTTACTGTATTGGTTGTAAGTATGGATTTTATGTTATTGTATATGGTGCCTGTGAAGACACTATGAACTGATTCCTTTTTTTCCAGATGTAGGAAGACAGGAAGTGTGCTAGTGGATGAAGTTGCTGTCAGATGGTGTATGTCTCCATCTTCTGGTGAACTGCATACTACACAGCACTTCTTCAGCCAACCACAAATAACAGAATAATCTTTTAACTTTAAAAATTATAATCTTTATTGACTGTTTTAACAAACAGAAATAATAAAGTATTTAAATAATAAGATATGGCTACAATACAAGACATATGGTCTGACATAAACATAAGGCTTGAAATTATGGCATAAAATATGCTCAGTAAGACAAAAATTATATTACATCCCTTAATACTTAAAATAAAACAAACCAGTTATCTATACAAGATGTATACATTTGAACTTTATATTGGCCACTTAACTTTAAAAAATATTATGTATTCCAGAGGTAAAGTATACTGAGCTAACTCACCTCAGCTTAATATGCTATAAATGTAACACTACTTGATGTTAAACAATTTCTAAAGCTTATCATGTAACTTACAGTGACAAAGGTATTGTGTGTACAAAAAATGTAACACACTTGCGAACAGTCAAAGACATAAATAAGGAAAACAAACTATTTTAGAGATGTTCTGTCCACAAATCAGAAAGTAACATGGTCATTATTTTGTTCTCTGTAGGATAAAATAACCCGCTGTACCGAGGCTTTTAAATTTAAAAATGCACATTGTTATTGCTTTGGATATAACTGACATGGGCCACTATCTCCAATGTGCTATATAAATCTTCTATTTAATTAATCTTTCTAAATATCTCATTTTCCCTTCACTGTAAATTAAGGCAAGCATTATTTGAGATGTTACATAAAATAAGAATGATGTAGTGCTAAAATCTATTTTAGACATTTAAAAACTCATTGTAACAAATACAGACACTGATTAAAACCCTAGGCTCCTTCTTAAAAGGATGTTTTTTGGATGGCTATGAGTATTCTGAAAATGATTTTGAATCAAGTTTTTATAACACATAGTGACCAGATTAAGCCAAAGCAATAAGTAAATATCCAGCATCTAAATGGCTGTCTGTACTAGATATTTTAAACAGTCAGACTCATCCGGTGACCTGTGAATACATAGTTAGTCATAGCTAAACAAATGTTTCAAATGAAGCAGTTGCACGTTGCCAAGAGGTCAGTAACAATAATAAAGCTGGGAACGTAGATGTCTGAAGGAGTCCTCTCCACGTGCGCCAGCTTGCTCTCCCTCAAACACCATGGAATCTGGCAGAATGACGCCCTCCAGAGGATCAGGCTGGCAGAACTCCACCACAAACTCTTCCTCAGCCTCCAGCAGCGTTCTGGACCAGGCAGACATGTCAAGTCTTCCAGCCACTCCTCCATACTCTTGAGGCAGTACAGATTGAGGAATGACTCGATGGAGAGAGGCCAAGTCTGAGCCGTGCAGGACATACTGTTGGGAGAAGACAGACTTGTTTCTAGAATTATTGTGCTAGAAATGTCTGTGTGTAAATACCAGGATAAGTAGCAAGTTACTTACCCTCTCTGCCATTTTCTCTTTCAGAAATGGCTTAATTATTGCAAAAATACCCTTGAAGATACGAGGCTCATTTATAATGTTTACAGCCTTTATTCTGATTGGGAAGCCATCCTGAAACACAAAAGCAACGGTCAGTACTAAAAATCAATGACTTCATCACAATGAATCGCTGGGCTACTTTTGCAATGTCTTACCTGAAGGATGCCGACAACTTTCTTTGCCAAAAGCGGTCCTGGATTAGAGGCTTGAGAGAGGCCAACTCCTGTATAATCCACCAGGATAACAATTCCATTCACTTGGGTTTCCTCAGGCTGAATCAGCTTCTCTAATGTCAAATAAATAGCCCGAATGTTGTCCACAAATGGGTAATCATTAGGCTTCCATTTACCTAGGAAAGCAAAAGACAAAATTGTTTTGTTTTTTCTTTATTGTTAACAGTAACACTGGGACAATATACTGTAGATATCAAATCAGCAAGAAAGAGAAACTGTGATCATCTTTTCGTCTCAATTATAACTATTTTAAACTGCAATAATATTTCACAATGTTACAGTTTTTTCTGTATTTCTGATCAAATGAATGCAGCCTTGCAGAAGAAACTTCCTTAAAAAACATTACAAATCTTACTGATCCCAAACTTTTGAATGGCAGTCAGTGTATATATGCACTTTATGTAAGTCTGTTATGAAGATCTCACTGATTTACAAGTTATCAGAATTTCATATTACTTTTTGGCCAAATAAATATCAGCTGCACCAAATAGCATACAGTATTTTTGTCCAGTTATGGCCTCTGAATAACACCGTTTTTTTTTCTTTCTCGAGTGTGAGCTCCATATTATCACTATATCATACTACGTATATGAGCCTATAAACTGTTCCATTTCAAAAGATTCTATTTTTTCTGACTATTATTTCTTATGTCAGGTTTTACATAGTTAATTTTTGTATTATTCATTAATCTTACCCAAAGATTTAGGTTTCGTGTCTGATTAAGGTCTTGTTAAGACAATAAGAAGCATTACCTGGTCGTAAACACAGTATGTAGCGTCCATGAGGGTCTGGTCTGGGCAGGATAGTGAGAAAACCCAGATCTAGGACGTGCTTCACTGTGGAGGGCTTCAGGTCCTGAAACACCTCAGCCCAGGCTTTCCGGCTGGCATGATAATTCAAGAGTAGCTGAAGTGCCCGGTCATAATCAAACTTTCTGGCCCTGAGGAAGCGCAGCAGAAATGCATCGTCTAACCGTGTCCTGAGATTAGGGTGGTCTTTTAGTATCATATCTCGTAATGCCTGGACATCCCGGAGCCTCCATTCGGGCTTCTCCTGGAGCTCTTCCCGTGCCTTGGCCACTAGTTCAGGAGTCAGGGTGCAGGCGTAGATGGGTGGGGGTGGAGCAGGGAAGCCTACACCTGCCACCACTTCTCTTGGAGGGCCAAGATCAATGTGGCCATTTTGGTCTGCCATGGGCTATTGGTGTAGAGAAATATTCAAGAATCATTTAATATAAAATCATGTCAGTGACAACCATAGAGCAGTTTACGGCCAATTGTTAATAAAGAAAATGCCATCAAGCACTATATATATATATATATATATATATATATATATATACATTGTTAGGAACATTCTGGGAATCAAAAATTGTTAGCTGGGTACTTACTGGAGTTCCACAACTATTGGCTTTGTTCTCTCTCACCGGACTTGTGTGTGTGTGTAGCTTAGACTGTAAAAAAAAAAAAACATGGACGTAGTGTCCGTGAAGTCACTCGTAGTTTTTTGAAGAGCATTTTTGAAGCCTAAAGTGGGCGGAGCCGACCGCCGCCATCTTGGCAGTGCGTCACCGCGCGTCACTCTCGGATAATCGAAAATGGGCAAAAAGGCGGGATGTGGGTGAAGCTGAGGTGCTAGATGCTGAAACCACGCCAGCAGTGCTGCCGTGCAAAGACAAAACACCATAACTTCGTTTTTGGTCGAAATTAGTTATTTATAATTTTGGGACATATATGACCTCCTTTATCATGTGTATAAGTATCTTGGAGAAAAGCCCAGGAGAAACCAAGGCAGAACACAGTATCATCAGTTACCGCTCTTTGACTTTGTTTAGACCGTTCAAATTAAGTTACGGTGCTCTGCATTTGTTTAGCCGTTCGTCAATATTACTGTGCCAGCCTGGAGTTATACGGCCTTTGTTTTACTGTCCATTAAAGTCTGCCGCGTTAATTTGTGTACTTTCATACATCTGTCGGCACTTCTTTAGACAAACAAATTAGATAGATCGCGATCTAACAAAGTTACATGTAACTAGTTACTCCCCAACACTGTATATATATATATATATATATATATATCGACCGCCGCCATCTTGGCAGTGCGTCACCGCGCGTCACTCCCGGATAATCGAAAATGGGCAAAAAGGCGGGACGTGGGTGAAGCTGAGGCGCTAGTTGCTGAAACCACACCCATCTTTGGTGACAGCAGTGCTGCCGTGCAAAGACAAAACACCATAACTTCGTTTTTGGTCGAAATGAGTTATTGATAATTTTGGGACATACGTATATGACCTCCTTTATCATGTGTATAAGTATCTTGGAGAAAAGCCCAGGAGAACACAGTATCATCAGTTACTGCTCTTTGACTTTGTTTTAGATCGCTCAAATTAAGTTACCGTGCTCTGCATCTGTTTCTGTCAATATTACTGTGCCAGCCTGGAGTTGTACGGTATTCTGCCTTTGTTTTACTGTACATTAAAGTCTGCGTTTTTAAATTACCGTGACTTGTGTACTTTCATACATCTGTCGGCACTTCTTTAGCCAAACAAATTAGATAGCGATCTAACAAACTGCTCCATATAACAAAGCACTGTAAACAAGTAACGACTAGATAACTTGGCAACAATAATTAATCGTAAATAATCTTTAAAGTTGTTTTTTTTCTTTTTATAATGCAGATGCCAGCTCTCAGTCTAGGGCTGCCCACTTCTGCACGTGTGAGGAGTCGAATGCCATGACAGCGTATCACATCAAATCAGTTAGGCTACTGTTCGCAATTAAATCCGTTTACTACCTTTTCTTGTAACTCGATAAAAAAAACATTGCAATGAAAGACTTATTCCATGGAGAGGTGACAGAGCCTGCTTTTCTGCAGATGAACAGTGAAAGTCAACTAAATGCACTCAGGAAGGCCCTGGGTAAATGGATTTATAGCGTTGTGGAACCAAACTCTTCATATATATATTATATCTAGTGTGAAAATCAATGTTTTGTTGGTAAATGTAGATTTTGCAGATATCATGTTCATATTTATACAATGACAATGTCCATCTTCCTGGTGACTATTAAATGAAAGTAATGATGGTATTATTTTCTACAGCATTTTCTACATACAGCAGGATCTTTTATGAAGAACAACTGTAAAAGGACTCATATTCTTCCTGGCGCTACTGTGGTGTTCATGAAGTACTATAATTAAATATATGAAAGCCAGGCATGGTACTTTAAAATGCTGAATGATTACAATTTTTAAACGTTTAAAAGTTGATGCCCTTCATATAAAAACGAACAGAAATATTACCAACCTGCCAAAGAAATCCGCAATCAGTTCCGTGTACAGCGAGAAGCCGTTCTACCATTGGTCACTCGGTATCATGTGTATGATGTATGACGCTAGCCACGTTTAATCAGTCTGTTTCCCTTAAAGGTACAATATGTAAGATTTACGTAATAAAATATCCAAAAACTACTTGCACAGTGTTATATATTTTATGCAGTTGTGTATTTATGTTATTTCAAAAGTTCCCAATGATTTGTAAATCCAGAGAAATTCCAATTTTAAATAATGGCTGGTCCCTGGTCATTGTCGCAGATCAATGATGCAATATCCGCATATCCTCAGTTTCTGCTTGGGGCTATGTGTTTTTTGGCCAATTGCAGCAGACACAGGGAGTGTTCGGGGTAACCTGTTTACAAACGCGGTGCAGGACAGGTAAGGAGGTATCTTTGCATTAAGCAAAAGTGGCGTTGGTTTTGGTTATAAAAATCGACTTTTACTTTCCATATGCTGTTAATAGGCTTCACTTTATTATTTTCTGTCCCATCAAAAGTACCCTAGGTGTTCGAAACCGTTATGAAATAAAAAAATATTGAACTATATCTTGAACGCAACTTGACACCAGGTTTATTGAATTATAGATGTGATTAATTAATCATTCATTCAATAACTGGCACATCTGGTTATATCATTCCCTGACAAAGATTTCTTAAGAGAAACTATCAGTAAGGCGCCTGCTTTATGAATTGTTTTATTGTCTGTTATCAGTGTTAAGAAGCACACACCTCCAGCAGCACTAAAAAATCCTTGACCATTCTTTGCCACGTACACTTATTTTTATCATCTTGTTTTGAAGCAGGTTTTACAGCTGGAGATGATTATGAGCCTGAAAAGTTGCCCTGAAAAACTTTTGCCATTGAATAAGGCTTTACATTTGGAAGGAAATGGATATGCATGATCACAATTTAACTGCCTACTGGGGGGGTAAAAAAAAAAAAAAAACTGTCTAAATTGCCTGGATTTAGCTGGTCTTCTAGCCTGATCAGATACGTGCCCAAAACCTGTACAAATTCAGACCAACAAACCATTTAAGACTGGTTTAAGTTGGATTTTCTTGCAGAGTATATAACAACTGTATCTTCCAAATAAAAAGGCTTATTGAGATGTTTGCTCAGACCACCTACTGAAATTATGGTGGATGCTGTTTAAAAATTTACATTATTATAGCAGCTTGTGTGACCTAAAGATAAGATTCTAAATGATAATTATAGAGATATGAATGGAAATAAACAACAGCACACTTTTATGTAAAAATATAGCCTTGACATTTAATATGTTCACATTGCAAGTTTGAAATTACCCTTCTCCCAGAAGGCAGTAATTGTAAAGGGGCAGTAAATGACCAATACGTAAAACTATAAATGAGTGTGACATTCTCTTACTGTATGCATACATACACATCACTATCTAGTTACAGCTAAGGGCTTGAATAGGAAACAAAAATGTTTGTTTTTTATCCTAAAATCATGAATTAGAATAGACTAAATCCATTTATGATAAAAGGAAATCGTTATATTTACAATTTAAGTATGGCACATACAGAAAAATATGAAATGCACATAATTACCAGCATTTTGGTAAATAACAATATTTCCAAGGCACAAAATGTTATGTATTCTCTCAGGATATCATAAAAGTACTATAAGAGCCAGTAGCAAGCTGTTAAAATACTGTACAATAAAACAAACATCTGATCATATTCAGGCCTGCTGTAACATTTATGGAACTCAAACTCTCCTTGAAAGGAGAAGAAAACTTGCATAACCTTTGTATTACATGGTGTTATATGCTGTTGTGACTCCTTGGGTAGTATAAATATGCACCACTAGTTCGTTCTAAAACATACATACAGCAAACAAATGAGATGGGATGAACATATATATTTAAAGTGTGATTGTTGCACACCTTTAAACTCAACTATTTTGGTTTAAAGTTCTTAAAATAGGAAATTCTGAACAATTTCACAGTGTCTTTACTAAAAAGCTTAAATTTAACAGCTGGGGAATATAAATGTTAGTGTTACTGTGTCCAGATGCGTATGAGAATGAATTGTCACGCTTAGCACAGTCTATTAATAGTACCCAGTTAAAAACAAAAAACAAAACTTGAGCTGTGTTTCTCTGTGCACTCAGATGGCCTCTTGTTTAGTGATGGTTGGTTGAGGGATGGAGCTTGGTTGCTTGGGCACTGTGGCTATAACACCCAAAGCCATTTTGTAATGATCAGAACCTGAGGCCGTCGGCGGAGATGGGATTGGAGTTTCCGGAGTGGCTGTTTAGAAAAAGAGCAAGAGGATACATTAGATCAAGGGTCCACATAGGGGAATTATGGAACCTTAAATAAGCATAATTTGCATAGCATGACAACATGCAAAAGAAAGAAACCATTGGTTGACACGAAATAAGCATGCTTATGAAATTTCTGAAGGCATTAGCGCAGAAAAGCAGTACAGTAGCCTTCTTTGACAAAATAAGCCTGATTAGTTTCTACGATTCTGGCAAGGATTACTCCAACAAGCCTGTTTGTCCCTGACTACCTGGTTTTCTCATTTTAAGGACCTATATTTTCTGTTCGGTTCTCCAAACAAATTTTCATTCACTCAGTTCAAGAAGATAGTGTTACTTACACATCTGGCCATGGTGAATTGGAGTGGCCATGTTTGTGGTGGTGACTATGACATTGTTACTGAGGTGCTCCTGGACCAGATGTGGGTGTAGAGAATGATGGGCATGAGGAGCTTCATTAGCAGAACCTGACAGAAAAAGAGAGTCATTAAATCTCTGATTGGGAAGATCATTTACAAATCTGAATCAAGTAGGAACTTGTTTTTTCAGTCTATATGAACTATGTAGGGTTATTAAGAAACCGGAGTGTATAGGCTGCCTTTTTTATATCAGTTTTCAAGATTATGACAAGCTGTTCCTAGATGTTTATCATGCATCTCAGATATTGCACCTTTTGACAGCTATCCAAAGTTAAGGCCCATTTACATACAGTGCTGTCTAATAACCATGACTTTGCACTTGTCTACAAAGTTTCACTTCATTAACAGAAATCAGTTACCTCCTAGAAGCATCTCTTGTAGCAGGTTGTCTATCTTCGCCATTCCAAACAATTTAACAAACTGGATTTGCTCGATCATTTGCCAGGTGATGCTCTGCAGCATCGGCAACAGAAGAAGTAGCTCGCCGAACCGCCCCCGCGAGTCGTATTGCCGGTCATTGATGTAGTCCTCCAAACTAACTTGAACTTGGTATCGCATACGTTTGATCTTGCTTGGGTCGCTTAAACCTTTGGCATCTACGTGAGAAAGGCCGTCACATTAGATCTTTTTGAAAACTCACTCGACATTCTGCTCTGTTTTGTCTCATTTTTAGGGCAATTTCCCACCTGGATCGAAAAATACAATGGCCTTCAAGCAGGCATATTCATTGTCATCGATCTGGAGATCCTGGAAGGGAAGGACTAACTCGTCAAGGATCCTTACAGACACACGGCTCACCTCCAATTCAGGACAGTTTCGTGGAATTATATGATCATTACCTGCGAGAAACATGGAAAATTGTGAGGTAAAACATTAGTAAAAGCGCTTGAGTCCAGAAGTCTGTCATATCCACATTTCCAATGTGCTTTTGAACTTACCTAATAGTAAAATGTCCTTATACAGCATGGAACGTTTGGCAGCTCCTAGTAGCAGATGTTCTCCAGCATGAGCTCGCAGTAAAGCCACCTGAGACAGATAAACATGCATAGGTTTGGTTAGAGTCCTTTTTATAACCATAATAGCTGTTTCTTTCGCCTAAAATTAAATGGAGATATATTCAAAGTATTTATGGAGGCAAAATCAGGTCTGAGTTCATGCCTGAATGTGCATGTGTGTATTCACGTGCATGTTTGTGTGAGAAGATGCAGTTTGAGGCGTTCTCACCCACAGCTTAAACACTGATCAGTTATCATGCCTCAGTGCTCAGCATGTTAATGATTCTGAATGTCTCAAGATGTAACTTTCAAACCATCTCATCATATTCTAACCTGAGCCATCTAAATACATTAACCACCCAAACTGAAGATCTCTGAACTTTTTCTCCAACTGAGACAAAAAATTGAGCCAACTGACACTAATATCTATTAAATGTACATTGAGGGAGTACATTTTCAGCTAAATAAGAGGTGCTTATCTTACCTGATCATCCAGGGGAAGGTCACAGAATGCTGGAATGTATTTAGCCCATTCAACCAGTACCAGCAGCTGCTGTTTCATAGAATCGCACACATCGGTTATATTGGCTGTCTTCTTCGTTCTGATGTCGCCATTCATGATAGAACCGGGTGATGAGATCTGCATAGTAGGATATGGGAGAATTTTATTATTTTATGATATTATTTATTATGTGTACATCTCTTAAACATGATTATACACACATACATGCATACACACATACATACTGTGTATGTATAGTAATGATTTAAATGTATAATCATGTTATAAATATAAATCATGTAATATATTTTAAAGGTGAATTTGTCATTTCTGTGCCTCTAGCTACACCCAGTGAAATTGCAGAAGTGTTGACTGTTTCCGAACAGGTTTCCAAATCTGCCACTGCCCAGATAGTCATGCTCAAACCAATGCCATTGGTTAAGCGTGTGTTGCTATATGGTTCTGATTGGGATGCTCAAACAAACAGGGCAATGTGTTGACAGCTGTGTCACAGTGTTTACATTTTTTTCAGAGGAATCAACCTACTTCTAAGAATCAGTGACGTCTTATTGTCTCTGCATTTTGAACTGGGTTAAGAGAACATATTTTAGAGATATTTAAGAGAACATATCACAATTCACCTTGTGATTTGAACCTAGATTTGAATCACATTGTGTACCTGTCTAGAAAGGACATCAGCTTGAATGAGTGCGTTTATGGAGGGTAAGCTGCAGTCTTCATAGCTGGATCTTCTGGTGCTAATCCTGTCTCTTTCATTCTGCACAGCTGAGAATGAGAGGAACACTTTTAATCAGCAAATTAACGTTAAAT